CGTTTTTTTAATTCAGCGGTGAAATTATACAATTTCAGTTTTTGATCCATGATTTTACCGCCTACTATGCACACATAAGCGTTATTTTCATTATTTTTTAAGTAAAAAGTAAACATTATTTTACAAAATCCAGTTAATGCTTACTTATTTGGAGAAATATTAGATTTTTAAGAGATTTTTAAATTTGTTGTTTGCAATTTTGAGAGTAAAGTTTCAGAAAGTGACCTTGGCAGACCACGTTCATTTAGGAACGAAGGAGTATTTGAGCGAGTAAAGGAGAGTATTGAAGAAGATCTGATCGCATCAACACGAGGGTAGTCTCGACAATTTGGAATCTCTCAGACGTCACTCCAATTTTTAAACGCATCAACCTGTTTTCGTTAGCTCAAATGGCAAGGGCCACAATCCAGCTTCATAGGTAAATTTTGACAAACTCTGGTTTGTTCCTATGGGACATATCTCAAAGAAAAGGTCTGTCAACAATCCTCAGACTTTCTAACAGGACAATATCCTGACAAAAGTCAGAGCATTGAAGCTTGAAACACTGAGGGCTGTGATGGAAAATGCCTTAGAAAGGTAACGTTCGTGCGAAGCTGAAAATGCGCTTCAAAATCGGAGCCCCAGTAATGTTGTTGAGAAACGTGCAACCGCCAAGGCTCAGCAATGAAACCCGCTTTGTGGTTAAGAAACTGCTGCCACATGTTATCTGGTATGAGAGAGGAAGAATTCATTTTCAGGATACCTTGCACTCCATCAGGTACAGAAATCCCCTTTGTTCTGCTTACACTTCAATTTCCACTAAGACTTTGCTTCGCGATGTCAATCAACTAGACCCAAGAACAAACTACAGCAAGTCTATATTTAGGTGAGCCATGTTTTCCCATGGTCAACTATATCATGAGTGGGAAGCAAAACAAATTTATTCGCTTTCACTTCAAACGGAAAAACTAAAAATGTTGTCTACAGAGAGGTGTTGTAGGCTCTTCACATGTCCGCCAATAGTAACAAATTCTGTAACACTTCAGTCCTAGTTTGTTCCAGTTTCCACGCTTGATTTAAGTGAGTGATGCACTTCACCTATTTTTCTTTTTGTTTAACACTTATTGACTTTGACTATTTCTCTTTTGTTGGCATTAGATTCCGCGTCCATTTCACTAGAAGCCGTTGCCATGTCTTCGGTATACTACCGTCTCTTGTTATGCAAAAACGAAAAAAAGCCCTTTTTAGGGTCACGACGTCTAAACTGTGACACTCTCAGGTAACGCTATCAAGCCCTTTTTTGAACTACCACTATTTACTTTTTACATTGTCAGTGAACATCCTTTTTCAGGGTTTCTCCTTAAACTGCTTTTTCTTACAAGCATAGCTATGATTAAGACCTTGAGTAACGTCTGGTATATCTGCTTATGATTTTAAAATATTTTTTAGCATATTAAAAAAAAATTTAAGTTAATCTGATTTAAAATATTTTTTTAGTGTATAAGATTTAAAAATATGAGTTGTTTATACAGTAAGTATTTTTATTTCAACTTTGTCCAAATGTCTCATAATCTGAACAGTCAGTGACCCAACGGGTCACGGATAATCTAGTATATATATATATATATATATATATATATATATATATATATATATATTAATTATTTATTCTCAAATTATGACATAAATATGTTATAAAATCACTACAAAAATAGCCATTTTGTTTCAACACTTCTTGTGTCTTATCAAGTGGTGGTGTTTAATGTAGAATAAATGGTTTATAAGGTCCAACACAATCAAACACTTCTCGCTTGCGGAAACGCTGTTACATAAGCTGGAATGACCAATCAAAATACAAGTATATGAGAATTCAAAAAACTTGACCACGAACCTTATATATATATATATATATATATATATATATATATATATATATATATATATATATATTTTCACGTTAAAAACATTCCATGTGACCCAGAAGTTAAAACAAGCTCCGAGCCTGATCAGTAGCTAGTTGGGTAAACGCTTCGGAATACAGGGTGCTGTAAGTTTGGGTGTGCGGGTGATGTAATGTATATTGGCTTGGAATTGTTAATCAGAAAGCCGAGTTCAATTTAGCTGGGTCCGTCATATTCACTTACGAGCAAGTGTCTTTGGGAAGCACCTTCTTCCCTCCTGCTATGGGTTAATTAGTAAGACATGTCTCACTAAATCATTATTATCTCAAAAATAATCTTACAATCTATGAATAATTTTTGGCCTTAAAGCCATAGAAAACAGAACAGTATATATATATATATATATATATATATATATATATATATATATATATGGACTCTCCCGTCGGTTTCGACGTATGTGGATCTGACAGCTTATTGATTCAGTTATTAAAGTTTGTGCGATAATTTTAAGTGGCATTTAAGACACGCTAGTGATTTACAAAGGAGGCTACATATGGAGCAAGTGTGAGGATTGTGAGATGAGTTCACTGTTAGATTGGCTGACCTTTTATATCTTGCTCTCGCTTATTCTCATGAAAGAACTGACATCACCCATCGGTCTGCCACTGTGTCGAGCTCCAGCTAGAGCCTTCCAATAATATCCTTTACCTGACCCCGTCGCCTTCACTCCCTCACCGGCGGACCTTACAAGTGAACTGGGTGGATAAGAACTAATCAAGGTAAACCGCCAGAAACCCCACACAAGTGATTTGATTAAAGTGGTGAAGGCTTGTGCAGAACCATCCACACTTTTCGGAACTATATATATATATATATATATATATAGAGAGAGAGAGAGAGATATGTCATGAAACAATATTGAGGAAATTGTATGACAATGTGTAGTAAAATCTTTACTTGTGACGCGTTTCGTCCTTCGGGACTTCATCGGAATAAATTTGTTATGTTGGTAGGACGGCATATGCGTACGAACGAAGCGTGCTGGAGGTTTTAGAATTTTTTTAGGATTTTTTTTTATATCCAGCCGATTTCATTTAGAGTCTTTTTCTTTTCATCACTTTTGTTAAAATGTATTCCACACACTACGACGTAAATATCTAGCAAGTGCCTTTATCGCAATGTCATCTACAGTAAAAGCTATGAATCCAATTCTTCTCCTCCTAGCTATGAGTTAAATAGCAGCGCAGACTGAGTTTTCTAGCTTTGGTTTGCAATCAGCGTAGGTGAAGGACAACTCTGCATTCAAAAGTGTTTGGGCTTGTGCCAGACAGCCTCTATCACTCAATAACCTAACTGCTACAGAAACTATTCATGTCTAATTTTACGGAGGAGGAATTTCCATCGGAAATTTTCACAGTATCTTGCCCGTTGTATGTGATTAATATCCGACAATGAATTATGTGTATTAATAATGTAAGTCTGTTGCATTCACCGTGGCCAAATGCCCTTTAGCAAGGCATGAATTTATCTCTTCTCCCTACAGTTATGGGTTAAACATAATTCATAACCATTGAGAAAGCAACGGAAAACCACACTATAGTCTTTCCCAGTAAACCATGTCTATACATAAATAATAAAAATGGAAAACTATGGTTGTGCGAAGTCATGATTACTTACCCTCTGAAAGGACATGGCATTAAACACAAACTACAAGACATTATGTTGAAAAGTAAAATAAATGCATTGGTTTTATTGATGCGCCTAAATAATATACATAAGTATGCAACCTCTCTCTCTGTCTGTCTCTCTCTCTCTCTCTCTTTCTCACTTTCTAACCCTAAACCTGACTTGGTGTCTCGGCTTCAGTCACTTTCCCACCGCCGTAAAGTTGCTTCCCTGTGCCTGTTCTTTAAATAGCTATAATTGTTCAGATGAGCTCTTCTTTCCGATACCTAGACTTTATGAATTTAAGCGCAGTACCAGATTGGCAACAAGGTCACATCATTTGGCAATTGAATTGGCTAGATGTAACCGTAAGTTTTATGCTAGCAGTTTCTTGTTTGTGGAAATCTCTACCCGGCTCCAAGCATTCCAGTCAATATTGTTCTTCAAAATTTGAAATGCCAATGCGTATCATTTTCTATTGTCTTAATGATTACACTTCTATTATTCCCGCTACTTATTAATTTTTCTCTTTTTCTTATTCTTTCACAACCAGTAACCCTTTGTGTCTTAGTGGCTTTACTGCCTTATTTCTCTCTCTCTCTTTCTCTCTCTCTCTCTCTATCTATCTATCTATCTACACACACACGCAGGCGCGCGTGTGTGTGTTTCTGTAGGTTTTCGTACGTGAATGAAAAATTGGCCCTCTTTGTTGGATAATCGATAGTGTTGTAAATAAAAACACCTGCCAGGTTCTCGGAAAGACGGAAGGAGCCAAGCTTCTTACTTCCGTAATCCTTGTATTTTGTTATGTGGGTGAGACGATGACAAAATCCAGTCGTAGGAGCAGGAGAAACAGTTTTCTTAACTATCGGTTCGATGTAAATCGAGTTCGGGTTTTACTTTTATCTAAATAATATTAACAGGAAAAGAGGCAAAAATAAAGCAGAAATATGAAGACCCCCCCCAAAAAAAAACAACAAAAAACAAAACCAGGAAAATGAAAGGCTAAGAAAAGGATAATAGTTAAGTATTTAATATAGTAGTAGTAATAGGCGTGTGAGGATGCTGCTGCTGCTGATGATGATGATAAGGAGGAGGAGGAGGAGAAAGAGAAGGAGGAAGATGATTGAAGAGAAGTTGAATGCAGCTGTGAGTGGAGCCGATAGAGAAATAGGAAGCGCGAAGAGAGTGAATGATTAAATAACTTCGATAGGGAAAAGAAAGATTCAAAGTAAAAAGAATGAAGATAATAGCACAAAAGGCGTCATAAGTAGCTAAGTAGGAACCCCTTAAAGAAACAAAGAAAGAAAGAGAAATGCAAAAAATAAAGAGAAAGATACAGAAAAAAAACAAACAAAAAGAGAAAAAGAAAAGAAGACGCGAAGCACGAGAGAACGAAATTGTGAAAACGAAAGATAGAAATATGAAGGATAAAGGGTAGAAATCTGACTATTAAAAAAGAAGGAAAAAAGAGTAAAAATTAATATGAAGAAAAAAGAAAGATAGACGAAGAGAAAGTAACATACAGTAGATAATGAAATTAGAAAAGAAAAAGAAGATGAGGAAACGAAGGAACTGAAAGACAGAAAAGTGAATAAAACGGTAGAAAGTCAACTGCAAAAAGAAAAAAGAAAAAGAGAAATAAATGATGACGAAGATGAAAGAAAGAAAAGAATATACAAAAAGGACAAAAAGTAAAACGTAGATAATGTCTGCTGCTAAAATGGATAAATAAAAGAGAAATAATAAAGATAAAAGAAAAGAAAGAAAGAAAGAAAGAACGAAAGTGAGAAAGAAAGAACGAAAGTGAGAAAGAAAGAAAGAAAGAACGAAAGAGAGGAGGAAGGAAGGAAAGAAAGAAAGAAAGAAAGAAAGAAAGAAATTATTTACCAAAAAAAAGCTGAGGAAAAACAAGGAAGGTTAAGAAAATGGTAAGAAAAAAGCGAAGCAGAAAAATCTCACAGAAAAGGTAAGAGGAGGCGTAAGAGAGTTGGAGTTGGAAGATAGGAGCAAAGAATACAAAATGGAAACAAAAGAAGAAGAATAGAAAATAGTGTACGTAATCTCCTGAAAAGGGTAAAAAAGAAAGAAAGAAAGAAAGAAAGAAAGAAAGAAAGAAAGAAAGAAAGAAAGGAAGGAAGGAAGGAAGGAAAAATTATGTAGGGCTATTTAAAATCATATCAAAGATCACACACAAATGCAGACACACACACACTCTCTCTCTCTCTCTCTCACACACATATATATATATTAGAAAAGAAAAGAAAGAGAGATATAAACAATATAAAGCAACTGAGCACAAATAAGAAGAGAAACACTAAGAGAGCAATTAATTCACAGAAGAAAGTAAAGAGAAGGAAAGAACAAAAGCGATAAATGGAAAGAACGGAAAAGAAAAAAGACTTAAGTATAAAGCGTAAAAGAGAGAAAGAAGGAGAAGTCTATTCAAAGAAAGAAAAAAGAAAGAAAGAAAAAAGATAATACAAAGAAATAAAGAAAGAAATTAAGAAAGAAAGAAGAAAAGAAAGAAGGAAAGAAAGAAAGAAAGAAAGAAAGAAAAAATACAAAGAACGAATAAAAAGCGACAATGGTTTGCAAATGTCAAAGAAAGAAACAAAGAAAAAAGAAAGAAGGAGAAGAAAGAAAAAAGCGACAATGGAGACGGTATAAAAGGAAAGAATGATTGAGGAATGCGAACATAACGGAAAAAAGAATACAGTAAAACCAACTAAAAGTGAAAAAGAATTCGGAAAGTGAAAGAAAACAAGAAAAAAGAAAAAAAAAAAAAAGAAAAAAAAAATAATATTGAAGAAACGTTGGGATATAATACAGAGAGAAGTTGTGAAAGATACGTGGAATTTCGAAAAGGCAAAGAAAAAAAATAAAAAATAAAAAAATTATACTGAAGGAATCCGAATACAATGAAAAAAGAATACAGTAAAACCAACTAAAAGTGAAAAAGAATTCGGAAAGTGAAAGAAAACAAGAAAAAAGAAAAAAAAAAAAAAGAAAGAAAGAAAATAATATTGAAGAAACGTTAGGATATAATACAGAGAGAAGTTGTGAAAGATACGTGGAATTTCGAAAAGGCAAAGAAAAAAAAAAAAAAAAAAATTATACTGAAGGAATCCGAATACAATGAAAAAAGAATACAGTAAAACCAACTAAAAGTGAAAAAAAAGAATTCGGAAAGTGAAAAAAAAACAAAAAAGAAAGAAAAAAAAAAAGAAAAGAAAGAAAAAAATAATATTGAAGAAACGTTAGGATATAATACAGAGAGAAGTTGTGAAAGATACGTGGAATTTCGAAAAGGCAAAGAAAAAAAAAGAAAGAAAAAATTATACTGAAGGAATCCGAATACAATGAAAAAAGAATACAGTAAAACCAACTAAAAGTGAAAAAGAATTCGGAAAGTGAAAGAAAACAAGAAAAAAGAAAGAAAAAAAAGAAAGAAAGAAAGAAAATAATATTGAAGAAACGTTAGGATATAATACAGAGAGAAGTTGTGAAAGATACGTGGAATTTCGAAAAGGCAAAGAAAAAATAAAAATAAAAAATTATACTGAAGGAATCCGAATACAATGAAAAAAGAATACAGTAAAACCAACTAAAAGTGAAAAAGAATTCGGAAAGTGAAAGAAAACAAGAAAAAAGAAAGAAAAAAAAGAAAGAAAGAAAGAAAGAAAATAATATTGAAGAAACGTTAGGATATAATACAGAGAGAAGTTGTGAAAGATACGTGGAATTTCGAAAAGGCAAAGAAAAAAAAAGAAAGAAAAAATTATACTGAAGGAATCCGAATACAATGAAAAAAAAAATACAGTAAAAACCAACTAAAAGTGAAAAAAGAATTCGGAAAGTGAAAAAAAACAAGAAAAAAAAGAAAAAAAAAAAAGAAGAAAAAGAAAATAATATTGAAGAAACGTTGGGATATAATACAGAGAGAAGTTGTGAAAGATACGTGGAATTTCGAAAGGCAAAAAAAAAAAAAAATAAAAAATTATACTGAAGGAATCCAGATACAATGAAAAAAGAATACAGTAAAACCAACTAAAAAATTGAAAAAAAGAATTCGGAAAGAAAGTGAAAACAAAACAAGAAAAAGAAAAAAAAAAAAGAAAAGAAAGAAAAAAAAATAATATTGAAGAAACGTTAGGATATAATACAGAGAGAAGTTGTGAAAGATACGTGGAATTTCGAAAAGGCAAAAGAAAAAAAAAAAGAAAAAAAATTATACTGAAGGAATCCGAATACAATGAAAAAAAGAATACAGTAAAACCAACTAAAAGTGAAAAAGAATTCGGAAAGTGAAAACAAAACAAGAAAAAAGAAAGAAAAAAAAGAAAGAAAGAAAGAAAGAAAATAATATTGAAGAAACGTTGGGATATAATACAGAGAGAAGTTGTGAAAGATACGTGGAATTTCGAAAGGCAAAAAAAAAAAAAAAAAAAAAAAATTATACTGAAGGAATCCGAATACAATGAAAAAAAAAAAAGAATACAGTAAAACCAACTAAAAGTGAAAAAAATTCGGAAAAGTGAAAGAAAACAAGAAAAAAAAAAAAAAAAAAAAAAAAAGAAAAGAAAATAATTGAAGAAACGTTAGGATATAATACAGAAGAAGTTGTGAAAGATACGTGGAATTTCAAAAGGCAAAAAAAAAAAAAAAGAAAAAAAAAAATTATACTGAAGGAATCCGAATACAATGAAAAAAAGAATACAGTAAAACCAACTAAAAGTGAAAAAGAATTCGGAAAGTGAAAGAAAACAAGAAAAAAAAAAAAAAAAGAAAAGAAAAAGAAAGAAAAAGAATTTTGAAAAAACGTTATATAATCAGAGAAAAAAGATTATTTCGAAATCAAAGAAAAAAATAAAAATAAAAAATTATACTGACAATTCAATACAATGAGGTCAGAAATAACTGAAGGAAAAAATCATTCGTAATGTGAGCAAGAAAAAAGGGATAAAAAAAAGTAAAAAATCGTAAAGCGTTAAGCAAAAAAAAAAAAAGCCCCCAAAAAAAGAAAAATTATACTGAAGTCTACGAATACAATGAAAAAAAGAATCTTTAAAACCAACTCAAAGTGAAAATCGTTGACGTCGATTGAAAACAAGAAAAAAATGCTCGGTGAGACAAAAAAAAGAAATCCTACGAAAAGAAAGGAAATAATATTGAAGAAAACCAGTTGGGATATAATACAAAAAAAGTTGTTGAAAGATACGTGGAATTTTGTAAAGGCAAAGAAAAAAAAAAATAAAAATAAAAAATACTGAAAGGAATCCTTCTACAATGAAAAAGAATACAGTAAAACCAACTAAAAGTGAAAAAAATAATTCGGAAAGTGAAAAGAAAACAAAGAAAAAAAAAAGAAAAAAAAAACGAAAGAAAGAAAATAATATTGAAGAAACGTTGGGATATAATACAGAGAGAAGTTGTGAAAGATACGTGGAAAAAGGCAAAAAAAAAAAAAAAGAAAAAAAAAATTATACTGAAGGAATCCGAATACAATGAAAAAAGAATACAGTAAAACCAACTAAAAGTGAAAAAGAATTCGGAAAGGAAAGAAAACAAGAAAAAAAGAAAAAAAAAAAAAAAAAAGAAAAAAGAAAAGAAAATTTTATAATATTGAAGAAACGTTAATATAATACAGAGAGAAGTTGTGAAAGATACGTGGAATTTCGAAAGAGGCAAAAAAAAATAAAAATAAAATTATACTGAAGGAATCCGAATACAATGAAAAAAAGAATAAAAAAACCAACTAAAAGTGAAAAAAAAAGTGAAAATAAAACAAGAAAAAAGAAAAAAAAAAAAAAATAAAAAAAAAAATAATATTAAAGAAACGTTAGGATATAATACAGAGATAAGTTGTGAAAGATACGTGGAATTTCGAAAAGGCAAAGAAAAAAAAAAAAAAAAAAATTATACTGAAGGAATCCGAATACAATGAAAAAAGAATACAGTAAAACCAACTAAAAGTGAAAAAATAATTCGGAAAGTGAAAAAAAACAAGAAAAAAAAGTTCCAGAAAAAAAAAGAAAGAAAAGAAAGAAAATAAGAAAAATAATATTGAAGAAACGTTAGGATATAATACAAGAGAAATTCTAAAGATACGTAATTTCGAAAGGCAAAAAAAAAAAAACAAAAAAAAAATTATACTGAAGGAAAATACAATGAAAAAAAGAATAGAAAACCAACTAAAAGTGAAAAAAAATTCGGAAAGAAAAGAAAAAAAACTAGAAAAAAAAAAAGAAAAAAAAAGAAAGAAAAAGAAATAACATTGAAGAAACGTTAGGATATAATACAGAGAGAAGTTGTGAAAGATACGTGGAATTTCGAAAAGGCAAAGAAAAAAAAAGAAATAAAAAATTATACTGAAGGAATCCGAATACAATGAAAAAAGAATACAATAAAACCATCTAAAAGCGAAAAGGAATTTGGAAAGTTAAAGAAAGAAAAAAACCTTGATATAAGAAGAAAGAGCGGTGAGAATTTTTTAATGCAACATAAATCACTGAAAAATATTACTATCAAGAAAAAAATGGCTGAGATAGACAATTCAGGCCTCAGGTCAGGGTTAATATGAAGGAAGTAATCATTAGTAATGTGAGCGAGAGGGATATTTAATTGTAATTATTCATCGTCTGTCGCTCAGAGCAGCAGAAGGAACAGAGGAAGTAGCAGCCCCCAACAGACGAGATTTAATGCCGTCTACGCTAGACAATCTCATAGAAGTTCTTTTGGCCATATCATTTGACCATCGTTGACGTCGATTGATAGGGAACATTGGACTAACACTGACCAATGCTCGGTAGACAACCTTGCAGCAGCTTGACGCGATCACTACGCAACCCGGAAGAGAACAGAGACATGGTTATTTTTTAATGGCTTCCCACAACAAACCAGAATATCATCAAAAGGACCTTCTTCTTCTAAAAAGAGTGTTTGGATTTTTTTTATCACATTTGTTAGTTATGATATTGTACCGAGGTTATACGCTTTCGGCATCCCAACAAATATTGATTAATTATTGCATGAATAAATAATACAATCACTTCATCAAATTTATTTTCTCGCAAAGTCTCACGAGAAATAATTTTACGATGAAAACTCATCTAACAAAAAAAAGAAAAAATTACATTTATAAACAAACAAACAATCAATATCAGATCTGAATATATATATAATATATATATATATATATATATATATATATATATATATATATATATATGTGTGTGTGTGTGTGTGTGTGTGTGTGAGAATAGCTAACAATTGTTAAATATATTGCTATGAACAGCGATAAACTTATATATAATCGCTGATACCTCAAGACAGTGGACAGAACAGTTTGCTAGAAGATCCTCTAAAGTGAGGATGCTGAAAATAACATCAATCAAACTAAGTGGGAAATTTTATAATTGTATCAATTCTATATATATATATATATATATATATATATATATATGAGAAGAGATATTATTTATTTTTAGATATACTGATAAAACGATAAACACATTCTAAAGAGACACACACACACATATACAGTGGAAATAAATATTCGGACACTCAAAAATTTTTATTTTATAAATATAAAAGCCTTTTAAATAAAACAAATCTCATTACATTTTATGTATAAAGACACATACTATTAAAAAATAATAATAAACATAATTAATTCTTATTCTAACAGAAATTAATGCATTTTTTTTAAATTCTAACTGGTGAAATAAGTATTCGTACAAATCAATTATTAGAATAAAATAATCAATAAATTATGAAAAAAGTATATTCTAGAATGTTCCAGTAATGTTATCAGTAATTTTAGTTAACGCTTTTAGCCATTTTCAGAGCATTCTGCAATTTCTAGTCTTACGAGAAGGTTCTAATAATGCCTAAAAGGTAAAAAATTGACTATTTCACAAAAACAACACATTTTGTCTCTTTGGAAAGATAACAGTTACAGAACGATTTCTTTCAACCTGAATATTCCTTTTACTACAAATGCTTCTTTCATTCAAGGTTTAAAACTCGTAACAGCGTCGAAAACCAAAGACGAACAGGTGCTCCGAGGAAGATTTCTCTAAGATCAGCAAGGATATTAGGACACCAGATCCAACAAAATCCACAGGTTACCGAGTTAGCTGCAGGAACATCTGCGTGCATTCTTAAAGTAACCAAGCTTTCAATTTAATGAACTACAAAAAACAGTCTCAAATCACGCATTCAAGGAAGACTCACTTTCTTGAAATGACACAGAGATGCTAGGCTAAAATTCGTTAGACAACATAAGGATAAATTCATTTTCGTTTTCTTTCAAAAGTACTATGGACAGATGAATCTAAAATAAATTGTTTGGTCATAATTATCAAAATCATGTGTTCTTTTCTTTCGGTGAAACCTACTTTCTTTCAACACGTTACCAACTGTAAAAAGTTTGGTGGTACATATCATGATCTTCTTTCTGTTTTTCTGCAAAAGGTGTTGGCAGAATTTCAATAATAGATGGCAAGATGAATACCGAAAGATACCAGAAAATCCTGCAAGACAATTTAATGCGTTCTGTTGAGAGACTTCATACGTCAGATTAGGTTTTTCAACTGGATAATGATCTAAGCATACCGCTAGATCTACAAGTTAATGGTTTTCTTTTAAGTAACGTTGATGTCTTTCAATGGCCAAGTCAGTCCCCACTACTTGAACACAATCGAAATTTATGGCGATATTTTCTTTTTCAAATTGGGAAAAAACTTTTTATAAAAATTTTGATGCCTTCTTTCTTTCAGACAATATGCCAAGAAGAATGGGACAAAATACCAATCAATAGAGTTGCATTAATTTCTTTTAGAATAACAATTAATTAAGTTTATTACTATTTTTAATAAAATGTATCTTTACATAAAATGTATCAAACTTTGTTTTAGTTAAGGCTTTTGCACATTTATAAAAAACAATTTTTCATTTTCTTTCTTGAATATTTATTTCCCCACTGTATATACATATATATATATATATATTTATATATATATATATATATTCTTATATTTATAGACTACCTTTCTTTACATTCTTTTTCATTTCTTTCTTGATAATTGTTTTCAGATAGATAAAACCTTTCTTTACATTCATTTTTCTTTCTTTCTTGCAAACAAAATACATTTCAGCATGAATTAAAAGAAAAAGCAAATATATATTGGCGAAATAACTCGTCAATCAATTTACCCTTGAAAATAAACGAACAAGAAACGACTATTGATTTTCTCTTTTCTCTTTAGTCTTTTCTCTTTTCCTTTTCTTCTTTACAATCGTTCTTATTACATTCATTTTTTTTTTTCTTTCTTTCTCTTTTCTTTCGGTTAAACCTTTCTTTACATTCATTTTTTCTTTCTTTCTGTCTTTCTTTTCAGTTACAACCCGTCTTTACATTCATTTTTCTTTCTTTCTTGCATGCCTTCTTTTCTTTCAGTTACAACCTTTCTTTACATTCATTTTTCTTTCTTTCTTGCATGCCTTCTTTTCTTTCAGTTACAACCTTTCTTTACATTCATTTTTCTTTCTTTCTTGCATTTTCTTTCTTTTTTTCTTTACATTCATTTTTTCTTTCTTTCTTTTTCTTTTTTTTCAGTTACAACCTTTCTTTACATTCATTTTTTCTTTTCTTTTTTCTTTTTTCATTTCAGCCTTCATTTTCTTTCTTTCAGTTACAACCTTTCTTTACATTCATTTTCTTTCTTTTTTCTTGCATGCCTTCTTTTCTTTCAGTTCACAACCTTTCTTTACATTCATTTTTCTTTTCTTTCTTGCATGCCTTCTTTTTTTTTCAGTTACAACCTTTCTTTACATTCATTTTTTCTTGCATTCTTTTTCTTTTCTTTTTTTCTTTTCAGTTACAACCTTTCTTTACATTCATTTTTTTTCTTTCTTTCTTTTTCTTACATTCATTTTTTTCTTTTTTTACCCTTCTTTTTTTTTTCAGTTACAACCTTTCTTTACATTCATTTTTTCTTTCTTTCTTGCATGCCTTCTTTTCTTTCAGTTACAACCTTTCTTTACATTCATTTTTTCTTCTTTCTTGCATGCCTTCTTTTTTTTTTCAGTTACAACCTTTCTTTACATTCATTTTCTTTCTTTTCTTGCATGCCTTCTTTTTTTTTTCAGTTACTTTCCTTTCTTTACATTCATTTTTTTCTTTTTTCTTTCTTTCTTGCCTTCTTTTCTTTTCAGTTACAACCTTTCTTTACATTCATTTTTCTTTCTTTCTTGCATGCCTTCTTTTTTTTTTTCAGTTACTACCTTTCTTTACATTCATTTTTCTTTTTTCTTGCATGCCTTCTTTTCTTTCAGTTACAACCTTTCTTTACATTCATTTTTTCTTTCTTTCTTGCATGCCTTCTTTTTTTTTTTTTTTCAGTTACTACCTTTCTTTACATTCATTTTTCTTTCTTTCTTGCATGCTTTCTTTTCTTTTTTACAGTTACAACCTTTCTTTACATTCATTTTTCTTTTTCTTTCTTGCATGCCTTCTTTTCTTTTTCAGTTACAACCTTTCTTTACATTCATTTTTCTTTCTTTCTTGCATGCCTTCTTTTCTTTTCAGTTACAACCTTTCTTTTTCATTTTTTCTTTCTTTTTTTCTTGCATGCCTTCTTTTCTTTTCAGTTACAACCTTTCTTTACATTCATTTTTTCTTTCTTTCTTGCATGCCTTCTTTTCTTTCAGTTACAACCTTTCTTTTTTTCATTCATTTTTTTTTTCTTTCTTGCATGCCTTCTTTTCTTTTCAGTTACAACCTTTCTTTTCAATTACATTCATTTTTTCTTTCTTTCTTGCATGCCTTCTTTTTTTTCAGTTACAACCTTTCTTTACATTCATTTTTCTTTCTTTCTTTTCTTTCTTTTCTTTCAGTTACAACCTTTCTTTACATTCATTTTCTTTCTTTCTTGCATGCCTTCTTTTTTTTTTTACTTTTTTTTTTTTTCTTTTTTTCTTTTTCTTTTTTTTTCTTTTCAGTTTCTTTTCTTTTTTCAGTTACATTTTCTTTTTCATTTTTTCTTTTTCTTTTTTGCATGCCTTCTTTTTTTCAGTTACTACCTTTCTTTTACATTCATTTTTTTCTTTCTTGCATGCCTTCTTTTCTTTCAGTTTTTCTTTCTTTCTTGCACCTTTCTTTACATTCATTTTTCTTTCTTTCTTTCTTGCATGCCTTTTTTTTTTCAGTTACTACCTTTTCTTTACATTCATTTTTTCTTTCTTTCTTGCATGCTTTCTTTTTCTTTTCAGT